ATAATTGTATTTTCTCTTAGTAGTATTTTCACATAAGCAAAAACATAAAATAGGATAATCTTGACATTATTTCCAGTAGAATATTCCAGATTCATTTCTAGAGAAACAATGTGGCAAACCCAAATTGCACATCCCATTTGCACATATTTGTTTTTAAATCATTTATTAGGCCATGTGCTATAGCTTATGTGTTTCAGTGCTTTGCAGCATGTATGTATGTGGTCTGTTTGTGACTGGTGCCTGCTGAGGTCAGAAGGCTTGTGATCTACTGTAATTGAAGTTATGAATGGCTGTTAGCCACGTTGCCAGTGGTGGGGACTGCAACTATGTCCTGTTTAAGCACAGCAAGTGCTATTAGCTGCTGTGCTAACTCCTGTCCCCATTCCACTTCCAATGTCACTGCAACCTCTCACCAATCCTACCTCAATCCCTACAAAAGACTTGGTATATTTGTTATTGTCTATTTTCTCTCCACCTTCCAGGCCTCTGTTTTGTTTCACAGGTTGGTCTTACCAGTGAGCCCATACTGAGAAAGAGAGTCTTCAAAAAGACTTGTATTTCTATGGCAGTACTGTGCTCTGTAAATAAAGAAAAAACTAAAAGGAGGATTTTATACAAGAACCAACTATCATGCAAGGTCCTGATACTAATACTCCTTAGGAAGCATTTTCAGACACATGATTTTCATCAATCCTATCACAGCTCAATCAAAACTCAACGGTTGGAATTGAATTGAATTGTTGGGATGAAAATATTTTTACAGTGTTTCTCAATTAATCAGGGAATAAAAATAAAGAAAACCTTACATCTGCCATAAGGAACACTATGAAGAACAAAAAAAGTAACATGCAATGTTCTTTTCTCCTCTGATGTTCTACCTTAACCCCATGAGATATGAGGCACATTCCGACAGCGCTCACAAACTTGCTTAGCGGTTTTGAATGGAAACCTGAGGAGCAGTACAGACTGCAAGAAAGCTATGTACACTCACAGAAACCAGACTACTGCAATTCTTCAAACTCCAATATCTGTACAAAGTACAGTGAGGAAAGTCCAGGCATTTCCCTCTTCCCATAAAAAGGAGTGTCATCAAATCCTAGAAATTAAAGAGGGTATTTGAGCCAGGAGTGTTAATTCAGTGCTTTAATCTTAGCATGAAGAAGGCAGAGGGAGACAGAGCCCATGTAAGTCCAGGCATGGTCAACATGGTGAGTTCTCAGACAGGGCAACAGACATATGTTGAAATGTGAGGTCTATGCTAAACCTGCCATTTTCTGTACTGGCCCTAGGAGAGCTGACCCCACCCCTTGCCATGGGGTAGAAGAGCTGGGTTAGCACCTCACCTAATGGGGATCATCCCAGGAACCCAGACTGACCAACTCAAAATACCACCTAGGCACACATGCAGGGCTCTAAGTTGGCTAACCCCAAATACTACCCCTTCTATAGCCTGGTGGATCATGTGAAGGGGCTGGTCCTGTAGAACCATAGTGACAGGATGTCCATGACTTGGAGTAACAAAAGGATATTTGAGAGGAATTTCAATGAGGGTCCGGTATTGATTGTGTAGCAGAAGCCAGAGGCCTTGAACTAGACCAATACCCAATACACATTTGCAAGTAAATCTGATTGGACAAAGGGTGTACTATGTGACACAGCTCTCAATTCCACTAAGAAAAATAAAGAGGTGATGGAGACTTAGGTAAGATGGAGGAGTAAAATGATTTTGTTTTGTTTTGCTTTTTTATTGCTGTTGTGTTATTTTGTAATTAATATTTTTATTTATTTATGTTAATTTGTCATGGGGACCATTAAAAACATAAAGAGTAGACACAGAGGGGCTGGGAGGAGAGTAGGACTGGGGTGAATGATGTGAATTTCAAAAGAATCAGTAAAAATTTATGTTGAAAAACTTAACAATGAAGACACATTTCTCAATATATTATTTACATCCTAGTATGTATACATCTCAAATGAAATATTAATGTGGAGTAAAGAGCTGGATAGTAAATGCTAATGTTTTTAACCACTCTTGTGGGGCTCTATAAATTATACTTTCTGACTCAAATATGCACTGGTTCCTCATGGGACTAATTTCTAAACAGCTCCCAGTGTTTGCCTAATCTCCAGTAGCAAAGGCCACTTGCTTGAATAGGCAAGTGATAAAACAATAGAGTTAGAAAGCATGGATTATTTTAAATTCCAAGATCTTTATAAATGTCCCAATATATGACAACCAAGTTTGCATACAACAGATAATGCAAATTTGTAGATGAAATTCTAAACAGTCTCATTAAATAAGAAACACAGTGCCAAATGCAGAGTTAAAAGCCCAGAGATCAGAGCAGTAGCCAAGAGCTAAGACCATGTTATCTTATCACTTGCTGTTGTCCTTCCTCTGAGAAAGAGACCTTCTTTCTGTGTCCTGTCTTTTTATTGTCTTTCTGTTCTGCCTTCTCATTGGCTCTAAACCCAACCACATCATTTCCTCGTCCCTGCCTATCTATACAGACCTCCAGGTCTCTATGGTTGGTACTGGGATTAAAAGTTCAGGTCACCTTGCTTTGGATGTGTCCTTGACCACAGAGACTCTGCCTGCCATGTGATTGGATTAAGGGCCTGTGCTACCACCGCCTGATTCCCGCTTATGGCTCGCTGTGACTTCTGATCGCCAGGCAACTTTATTAACATACAAATAAAATCACATTTCAGCACAAATAAAATATCACCATACAAATTCTTTCCAATTATTCTTCTGTAAATATCATGGCAACTGTAAGACTTTTTAATAGTACCCCAATAAGCCACAGTTTTTCTTATCTAAAATTCACTTATACAGGGAGTGGTAACCCTAAAACAATTTTGAGAGCCTGTTTAGCAGCATAAAAGCTGATCAAACCTCTGGTACACTCCAACATGCCTGTTTCACAACCCTGCTTTCCCTTCTATTGGGTTTCCAGTCCCCTATAGCACAATGTACTCATGACTTCCCCACATTGTCTTATAAGGTGTCCTGCAGCTGAAGGGAGTATTCCTGGCCCAGGAAGATCCTGTCTGAGGCCAGTTTTGTTCTTAAAAATATAGCCCTTGGAAGTTCCTCTAGGAATGCCCACCAGGCTCTTGAAATCCGGTTCTTTTTTTTTTTAATTTATTTATTTTTAGATTTATTTATTTATTATGTGTACAGTGTTCTGCTGAATGTATACCTGCAGGCCAGAAGAGGGCACCAGATCTCATTATAGATGGGTATAAGCCACCATGTGGTTGCTGGGAATTGACCTCAGGACCTCTGGAAGAGCAGCCAGTGCTCTTAACCGCTGAGCCATCTCTCCAGCCCCGAAATCTGGTTCTTAATGATGCTCTTTCACAAATACTATTGAATTCATAAATCCCACAGAGCCTCTCGTCCATTTGCCATTACCCCTCTGATACGGTGATTGTCCCTGCCCCACTGATTTGCATATGACCCTTTCTGTCTGTGCTCTTTTCCACACAGTTCCAGCTTCTAGGCTACCTGAACCTTTTTATACAGGCTCACCACATGCTTGCTACCACCATAGACAAGAACTAAGTGTATAAATAGTTACAGAATGAAGAAAACAGTAGGGTGAGAGGTAAAATGTAACATGTCTTTTCATTGTGGACAAGTTTAAAAATGTACCACGATAGTGGAAATCTGTACTGATTTAGGATAATAATTTCAAGGTCCTCAAGAAGCTGGTCTCTATCCTTTGAATACTTGAAATTGGAATCTCCAGACTTTGTCAGCTAGTTGGAATCTCCAGATTGTTAAAGGACAGTCCAGAAACCTAACTTGCCACAGTCTCCTGTCTCAGTTCCAACATCTCTGATGTAGCAGCAACTGGTAGAATTTATCTTTGATCCTTTGAATTCAACTGCCTGTATTCAAGATTGTAGCAACAATGAGTTCCTGTTTTAATAAACACTAATACGGAGAACACCAAAATGTTCTTGAGGTCATCAGAGTTTGGCTGAATCATGGGGTATTATCATGAGTTGAAAGGTATTCAGGAACATAGTCCAGTTTGGATGATGTCTGTCACCGACAGTTTTGTAGTTGTATTTTCATTTGTCATTTTGTAGACCTTTCTCTCCTCCTTTAATACAAGTAAGAAAGCAGTCTTCTATCTGAGCCCTATAAACCCCATACATTCTACATGAGTGGAGACTTTATAACTTAACCAAGTAAGCCTGGAACATTTGAAAAGAAAAATATCTTTCCCTTTTTTGTAGACTCAAATGCCTTTTCTCTGAAACAGTGGCTCCAAAATTCATAATGCTGCAAGCCTTTAATATAGTTCCCCAAGCATTCTTGTGGTGGCTCAAATTACTTAAGGTCAGAGAATCTGAGCTTGCTTTAGCCAGCAGGGCTGCATAATGGGATGATTTGGCCATGGGCATGGCTACCACGTGTTTTGAAGGGTCCCCATTTGGCTGTGTGTTGTGCTTTGATGTTGAAAGGGGATGGTATTCTGCCTCACCCTTGGCATTGTATAAAAAGCCCCTTGGAATAAACCTTGAGGCAACTGGGTATTTACCCAGGGCCCTACTGAAGCTATCCTGTCTCTATCTTTCTTAGAGTCTCTATCTTTCTATCTAATACTTCCTCATTCCTCTCCTCTCCCAAGAACCCTGCAAAATCTGGGAGCTGGAGTCCCACACACTCCTATGTGGGTGCATCTGCAAGGGGCAGACCCAGCTAGAGACAATAGAGGCATGGTATCTCAGTTCTTAAAACCACTGAAAATATATGTTTTCCTATATCGTAGGCAACCGCTGTGAAAGGGTCTTTTATCCCAAAGGAGTGATAGCCCACAGGTTGAGAAATGCTACCTATTATCGACTTCCTGTTTATCCCAAGTTTGGAAGAACAATTAATGGGTACAGCACATGTTTTATGAGACACCTTTCCTGGGGAGACGCAACATACATATAAGCATCTTCTCACCCCAACTGGAAAGTGAAAGCAGAATCAAGGCCAACTTTTTGAATCAATGAGCTTTATTAGAATTGCTTACAAGATTATGGGTAAGCAGATGCTTACTGGAGCATAACAGACTCAAACAGTTGTTATCTCAAAACTCAAAAACCATCATGTAAAATAAAGCTCATGAATATCTACAAGTTAACGAGCATTCTATCTTGATGGCTAAAATCCTCTTCTAAGGGGTATGACTTCTGAGTTTCTTCATTTGAGTTATGAACACTGAATGCTGTCAATTTCAGGGGTTTCTTGAAGCTGAAGGTTGAAGCTCTTGAGTGGCATATTTCCTGCCTTAATCAGCTTCCCTTCAAAATGGATCATTCCAGTCTCCAGGAAACTATTACACAATAGCATATGCTTAAGTTTTCTCAATTTGTCTTCATTATGATGTATTTCAGGTTGAACATGTAAAATATTTTAATGAAAATTGTCCTACATTTTGAAATTTTCTCTCTGCATAAACTCTTGATGTTTTCTAAGATTTGAAATAACTTAAAGGCTTTCACAAGTTTCTCATGTTCATAATGATTCTCTAGTGTGGAGTCTCAAGTGGAGATAAGAACAGAACTTGGTTAAATCACATGCCAAATTATTTCCCATGAAAATTTGTCTCACCAGTATGAATTTTCAGATGTTTCCTTAGACCTGAGAGGTAGGTAAAGACTTTTCCTCATACATTACATTTTAAGTTTTCTCTCCTGTATAAATACTTTGATATGTTCTCAGGGTGATTTTGTAGTTAAAAGGTTCCTTATATTGACTACTACAGTGGTTTGAATAGGTATGGCCCCCATGTACTCATGTGTTTGAATGCTTTGTCTATAGTGGGTGGAACTATTAGATGTGGCCTTGTTGGAAGAATTGTGTCACTATGGTGATATTTTATTTGTATTAAAATGTTATTTGTATGTTAATAAATAAAGTTGCTCGGGGGTCAGAGCTATTAGCAAGCCATAGGAAAGCAGGGCAGTGGTGGTATACACTTGTAATCCCAGCACTTGGTAGGCAGAGCTGGGTAAGTCTCTGTGTGTTCAGGGATACAGCCATTATTGGTTACACATGCCTTTAATCTCAATACCAATCATGGAAAACCTGGAGGTCTATACAGACAGGCCGTGAGGAGGCGGTCATGTGGTTGGGTTTACAACCAACGAGAAGGCAGGACAGGAACTCTATATAAAGACTTTAACACAGGGATAGCTCTGGTTCAGAGAGGTAGGACCACTGCAGGAGGAAGGGTAAGGTTTTAGCTCTTAGCTCTGACCTCTTGGCTTTCTTCTTTGCATTGGTTCTGTGTTTCTTATTTAATAAGAAGGTTGGTTACATCTACATGTCACCATTGAGGCAGGCACTGAGGTCTCATATATGCTCAAGCCACACTTAAAATACATTAATCACTAACTGCTGCCTGAGGATAAAGATGTAGAACTCTTAGCTCCTTTTCTCGCCCCATATCTGCATGCATGTCATTATGCTTCCCACTGTGAGTCCAATGTACTAAATATTTGAAAGTATAAGCCAGCCACAATTAAATGTTTTCCTTTAAGCGTTGCCATCGTCATGGTGTCTCTTCAGAGTAATTAAACCCGAATTAAGATAACTACAATGGTAAGATTTTTCTCTTGAGTGAATTCTCTAATATACTCTAAGAAATGTGAAATTGTAAAGGATTTCTCACATTCACTATAATTGTAAGGTTTCTTTTTCATATGTATATTCTGATGTGTTCATGTTGTTCCTCGGTTAGCTCAGTGGTTGCTTCTGACTGTGGCCCTACGACCCTGCATTCAACACCCTGTTGCTCAGGCAATGGCCTGGTCGGATTTCTGGTTCTGTTGGCACAGACTATGCCACAGCCACCACATGTAGTTTATAACTAAATCTCTATTGTTGTATTTACCAACAAAGACTCAGGAATCAGATGTTGGGGTGAAAACCTGCTAGTTAAGAGAGGGCGGGGAGCATCCAGCTGGTGTTCCATTTTGTCCAGAGACCTGGCAATAAGAGTGTCTCTCCAACCATTTCAAACCAAAACTACCACAAAACTCCAAGTCGTTCCCTACTCCTTCCTATGTGTCTATATGTCTTCCATGCTCCTCCATACTCTCTGTGGCTATTTCCTGTCAACTAGTTCCAGGTCACAACCCCAATCCATGTTTGATTTTAACATATAGGTTTCAGAGTATGATCAAATATCCCACAACAGATTCTGAGATGAGCAAGGAGTAAAGGATTTCTCATGTTTGCTACATTTCTAAAGTTTCTCAAGTGTATGTATTCTCTAATGAGTTCAAAACTTCTTTCTCTGTAAAGAATTTCTAGCATTCACTACAGTATGTAATGTTTCCCAGCTGTATGAGTTTTCAGATGTTTTCTAAGAGCTGAGCAACATGAAAAAGATTTGTCACATTCACTACATTTGTAAGGTTTCTATCCTGTATGAAGTCTCTGATGAGTTCTAAGATGGTCTTTCTGAGAAAATGATTTGTCACATTCACTACATTTGTAAGGTTTCTCTCCTGTGTGGATTCTCTGATGAGTTCTAAGATTCCCTTTCTGGGTAAAGGATTTCTCACATTCACTACATTTGTAAGTCTCTCCTCTGTGGATTCTCTGATGTATACTAAGAGATGAGCCAAATGTAAAGGATTTCTCACATTCACTACATTTGTAAGGTTTCTCTCCTGTATGAAATCTCTGATGTATTCTAAAATTGTATTTCTGGGAAAAGGATTTGTCACATTCACTACATTTGTAGGGTTTCTCTCCTGTATGAATTCTCTGATGCTTTCTAAGATTCCCTTTATCGGTAAAGGATTTGTCACATTCACTACATTTGTAAGGTTTCTCTCCTGTATGAATTCTCTGATGCATTTTAAGACTGCCTTTCTGAGTAAAGGATTTGTCACATTTACTACATTTGTAAGGTTTCTCTCCTGAATGAATTCTCTGATGTTTTCTAAGTTCTGAACAACTAATAAAGGATTTGTCACATTCACTACATGTGTAAGGCTTCTCACCTGTATGAATTCTCTGATGTACTTTAAGACTGGCTTTCTGGGTAAAGGATTTGTCACATTCAGTACATGTGTAAGGCTTCTCACCTGTATGAGTTTTCAGATGTTTTCTAAGATCTGAGCTCCGTATGAAGAATTTGTCACATTCACTACATTTGTAAGGTTTCTCCCCTGAATGAATTCTCTGATGTACTTTAAGACTGGCTTTCTGGGTAAAGGGTTTGTCACATTCACTACATGTGTAAGGCTTCTCACCTGTATGAGTTTTCAGATGTTTTCTAAGATCTGAGCTCCGTATGAAGAATTTGTCACATTCACTACATTTGTAAGGTTTCTCTCCTGAATGAATTCTCTGATGCATTTTAAAACTGTCTTTCTGGATAAAGGATTTGTCACATGAACTACATTTGTAAGGTTTCTCACCTGTATGAGTTTTCAGATGTTTTCTACGACCAAAGACACTCAAGAAGGATTTCTCACATTCACCACATTTGTAAGGTTTCTCTCCTGCATGGATTCTCTGATGAGTTCTAAGATGACCTTCTGTGGTAAAGGATTTGTCACATTCACTACATATATAAGTCTCTCCTCTGTGGGTTCTCTGATGTATTCTAAGATATGAGCCACTTGTAAAGCATTTGTCACATTCACTACATCTGTAAGGTTTCTCTCCAATGTGGACCGTGTAATGTCTTCTAAAGTGTGATATGTGACAAAAGCACTTACCACATTCTGTACATTTGTAGGGTTTTTCTCTAGGATGGAATCTCTGATGTCTAATGAGGCTTGAGTGAGTCTTGAGGCATTTTCCATGTTTTCTGCATTGGTGTTGTTTCTTCCCACTATCAGTTTGTTTCAGTGTGATTTCTGTATTAGAGTCAAAAAATGTATAATACTCCATATTTTTGTGTTCTTCCTTTCCTATGTGATTTCTTTGATTTTGGCTAATGCTGGAACACAAATTTAAACAGTTTACACAGTCTGTATATTTGCAAGGTTCTTCTCTTCCATTCCCACTTTTGTGTCTGTTGAGGTTTAACGTTTCAACAGAGGCATCTCTGTGGTTACCAACTCTGTACTTGTTATTTTCTGTAGTATCCCTTGTGTCACAAGGTGTACACTGGCTGGATTCATGAATCACTTTGCCAAGCTCATTACATTTACAAGACGTCTCTTTGACGTTTTCATGATCATGGATGAAATGCTTTGTGACTTGATGCACGACCTTCTCATATTTACCACATATGCGATGGTTCTCTGAAAAATTAGTGTAATTAGGGATTAATTAAAATTACACTATTAATTACACTATTAATTAAAATAGCAATTAATGCATGAGTAACAGATTCAATGCCTGATGTTTTCTTAGGTTTACAATGACATATACACTAGTAACTTTCAGGGACAGAGGTCTTAACAGAGGACTTTTCTGTTTCACAGTCATTAATTGGATGCTCATAAGAATTTCCAATCTGATCTATATAAAAGCACAGGAACAATAATAGTCTTCTCATTCTTTTTTCCTTCCTATTAATTTTTTTTTCATTTATTTCACATTCAAACTGCAGTTTACCCTCCCTCCTCTTCTCATGTTTCCTCTCTCCACCTCCCCTCTCTCCCCTTACCAACTCCCCCTGTTTCTGGTCTGAAAGGGACAGGACTCCCATGGGTGTCAACAAAGCATGGCAATTAAGTTTAGGTAGGACTAAGCTCCTCCTTTTGTCTTCAGGCTGGGTGAAGTAACCCACTATGAGGAATGAGTTCCCAGAATGAAGCCAACATGTTAGGGAAAGGCCCTGATCGCACTGCTAGGAGTCCCACAAACAGACCAAACTAAACTGTCAGCACATGTAGAGGACTGAGGTAAGTGTCATGCATAGCTTCTCATTCTTTTCTAAACACTGTAACTAAAACTGGTAAGACAAATAGGTGTTTGAACAGTAAAGAACTTTAAGAGGGGGCTGGAGAGATGGCTCAGAGGTTAAGAGCACTGGTTGTTCTTCCAAAGGTCCTGAGTTCAATTCCCAGCAACCACATGGTGGCTCACTACCATCTATAATGAGATCAGGTGCCCTTTTCTGGCCTGCAGGGATGCGTGCAGGCAGAACACTGTATACATAATAAATAAATAAATCTTTAAAAAAAAAAAGAACTTTAAGAAAGAATCTCTGTGAAGGATCATATGAAGAAAATCTCCCTATTATGTTTTTGAGACAGAGTACACAGTACAGCTTTGGTCGAGTAGGAACTCATAATATAACCCAGGTTATCAGGGCACTCACCATGTCCTACTGCTTCAGCCTCCATATTAAAATCATGCTGTGCCAGTATTAAACATAGCAACTACATCTCAAAAATAAAAACAACATTCTCAAAACCAACAGATCTTTCTCTAAAGCCTCTTCCATTGTTTATAATCAGATATAGGTGAAGAGTTTAATACAGTAGCAAAATTAATATATTCTAATTATTATGAGTACTGCTATATATTTCCTTGCTCTCAATACTCTTTGAACCTTCAAATTTTCTTTATTTATTAGATAGGAGGGCTGAAGAGATTATGGAGAATATAGCATTGGTTATTCTTCTAGAGAACACAGACAAATGCAAATTAAGCACTATTAAAAATTCTATTGGTAACAAGATTTTTCCTCATTTCTGGGATTCTCTAGGTACAGAGAATTTACATACACACTAAGTAAGTAACTTAAAAGGATAAATCAGGAATTCTACAAAAAGAAAATTCTTACCTACAAAGAGTAGGTTGTTGTAATTCTCCAGCATCACACCCATGTACAAAGCCCTCTGAGCACAGTCTAGACATTCCCATTCTTCCTTGGAGATGTCCACAGCCACATCCCTGAATGACAACAGACCCTGCCATGGAAAATTACCTATTTACCATGTGATGCTTGACAAATGATTTCTTAAGTTAAAGAGACCTAAAGAATTAGAGACATGTTTGTGATATACATGAGGCATGACAATGTTTAAAGGACAAGAGTTTTCTAGAAGTGCTGCATTGCTACTCTTTCAGAAACAATGTATAGAAGGAATTACTACATTGTTTCCATACATTAGGTCACTCTCTTCCATGAATTTTCTGATGTTTTCTAATACCCGAGTAGCAGATAAAAGATTTACCACAATCACTATATTTGAAAAATTTGTCTCCAATATAGAGTCTGTCATTTCTTAAAGTCATTGAAAATGTAGTTAGGTTCCCAGCACACTCATGGCATTACAAAACAAAATTTAATCTCAGATCCATGAGACCCAATGCTCACTGATGAATCTTATAGGCAGGAGTCATACATAGTACACACACATACTTTTAGAGAAATATATAGACATTTTTAAAATAAAATTGTACTTTAATTGTCATAAAAGATACTTTCTAAAATATTCAGTCTTTATTGTATTTTCTATCTCTGTGTAAACAGGATGATATAATAGTCTTGCAATCAGCAAACATTTAATAAATACAACATACACATTTGTGGTCTAGATGCAGAAATGTACCTTTATGAAATACGTGTTGATAGCAAATAGAATCCCAGTGTCACATCTCAGATAGTAAAGTTATAATACTTCAAAATTATACAACTGTTGACATTGCTTAAATATGAATACTAGAACAACCCTGTCTGAAGCTAGATTCACCTGACTCTAAAATGCTCAGTTGAGGTCCTGAGGGCTAAGTAAAATGCTGCACCCCTTCTAGAACAAAGGGGTAGAATATGGAACGCAGAATTTGTGGATGAATTAAAGTCAGTTTTTCCTTGAGAATTCATTGCATACATCCAACATTCCAAATAACACAGAATCAAATATTTAATGAAGATATGTTTTGGGAAACATTTACAACCATGAAGTAAATAGAAAGATCAGAATTAGACAACATCAATGTTATTTAAATTTTTCTAAAAGCTGAAGCCAACAGTACTGATAATAACAATTTCATGAATTCCATACAGTGTTTCACTACAGAATAATTAGAAATATTTGTGGAAACAAATGCCATCTGCGACAGTGCATCCAGATGAAGTAGAAAGTTTCTGTTCTAAAAGCAAATGTATTAAATAGAATGAGAAATATTCTAACTTCACTAATTTTGAATATATTATTGCTCTTATGATTGACTTAATTGAAAATTAAAATTATTTTATTCTTCAGTATTTGAGCTCATTCATCTAACTGGGTTCTAGCATAAATAAGTATCATTTGTGATTATTCTTTCATTTTTCCAAAACTAGAATGCATGGGGTTAGATACTGTCACAACATGTACCAGAAATGTAAACCTAGAGTCTAAAGACTCAGAGGTAAAAGACACTTGCTATACCTCTAGAGAAACCTAATCTAATTCTCTCTATACACATGACAACCAACTACAGTTCCTGACTTCAGTGCCAAGAGTTTGGTGCTGACATCACGGACCTACGGGTATAATGCATCATGCAGTATACACGAAAATATGCAAACAGACCCTCCAATACTCAAATAAAATATTATGTAAAGAAATAGAAACACTGAAACCACTCTTCAAAATTTGTCCCTGTGTAAGACAAACCTTCAGGGAGAGGAAGAACTTAGGCTGGAGAGAGCCTTCTTTCTCCAAAAGAAAAGGAGATGGTAAAGTAATTAAGAGGGACTTTCATTTATGCTTGAAAATTGATAGCATATGTCCAGCACCAAGTAAATACTCTCTAGAAAACTCTTGCTAATACATTCCACATGATGCCATACAAAGGTGGAGACAGCAGGGATAACCAAAGAGCTCTGAACAGAATCTCTACTGAGACAATTGCATTTCAGGTGTCAACACACACATCATCAATGTGTGACACAACCTGGCAAAAAGACAAACTAGAATACTGCAACCTTCATCTTGTCAGAGACGCATCAGTTTTTTGGCAAGAGCAAGCCACATACTACTTTCATCATCTGTGCTTTCTAGGATGCTAAACTATTTACTATTAGGGTTCAAGGCAAGGAGTCTCTTCAAATTCTACTTTTCTATAAATTGCTCAGTAATGTCAGTGAAAAGGTCCATGTATTGGCATCTCCACCTTCACAAGCCTATTTCAGCAAAACTAACCATTGCAAAATGCCAACTATGTGGCACATGAGACCTCACTTCCTCACTAACATAAAAGGACACAAGTCCATCCTATGCAAAAATTGGGAATCAATAAATTTCTTTTTCTCTTTCTTCTTCTTCTTCTTCTTTTTTTTTTTTTTTTTTTTTTTTTTTTTGAGACAGGGTTTCTCTGTGTAGCTTTGCGCCTTTCCTGGAACTCACTTGGTAGGCCAAGCTGGCCTCGAACTCACAGAGATCCACCTGGCTCTGCCTCCCTAGTGCTGGGATTAAAGGCATGCGCCACCATCACCGGGCTGGGAATCAATAAATTTCTTTGAGTGCCATTTACAATAGCATCTGTTTTAGAAATCCAAGTCTTAAATCCATGGAAATTCATGGCCTTATAGTTTAAAATCAAGGAAAAATATAATGGGACAAGTCTCTGCTACATAAGTGAAAGATTTAAAGACTTAACTTTGAATATAAGAAAAGAAAAACAGATGAATAAGGCAAAATAAATACTTTCAATAACATTGCCAGTGGTAGAGAATTAAAGTCTTGAATGGTTTCTATAATAAAAGCAATTTTCAAAGAAATGTGAATATGACACTGACCTGGGGAGCATTAACTAAAGAAACATTCATTCTTCTTGTTGCTCTTCTCTGAGTTTCTGTCTCAGAAACAAAGAATGGAATTTTTGTTGAAATTTCACATCAAAGTGTCAAAAATACAAAGCTAAAATTAATACAACTCTATTATGGTCAATGCAAAACCACATAAGAAGATCCAAAAACCGAAATGATATCAGAAATCTTGTCAAAGACAGGAGAACATGGAAGGGTATATTTAGAGTGGTGAAAGAAAATCAATATGAACCTTATCACTGCACCCCGAAATATGAGCTCTTAAAATTCATGAAGGAAAGGCATATGAAATGGGTTATAAAATGACAAAGGGCATCAACTCAAACTGCACTTCAGATCATAATTAGAGACAAAGTATACATAGAGAAATTAGCCATCACAACCCAGGAAATAAGTATTTTACAAAAGGAATAAATGAATAGGAGAGCTGGAGTGTACCAGATTATTTTCAACACACAAACCAGCAAACTACCATTTCTAACTAGAAAGAAGTAAATTACTACCCCTAGTGTTACCCACAATAATATTTAAAAACAAATCATGAGTAAAAGCCCCATGATATGAAAATACCAGTAGAAACAGATATGATGTAAGACAAACTTCAGGAGATTTTACGATAAACTCCTAAATGAAACAGGAAGAAATGGAACACAGGAAGAAATGTTACACTGAAGCCAATAGTCCAGTGCAGAGAAAAAACATGAGTAGCATTAGCAGGAAAACTAAAAGAAGAGTAAGATAACATGTGCTCTCTAGTCTTATTGAATCTAGTGGCATAAGAGTGTGCCATAAAAAATTGAATAATAAAAAAGAGTTAAGAGGAAACAGGTAGGAAAGGCAACAAGTTCCATTTTAATGATGATGTGATCACACAAAAAACTTTACAGAGTAACCATGGGAAAACCTTAGATTTGCTAAGTGTTTCACATGTTATTGAAAAGTACAAAACTAACACAGAAAATAACTACTTTCTGTATTTATTAATAATAACAATTTGAAAAGTAATTTGTAAATTTAAGCCATTCACGGTGTTTCCAAAACATCTAGGAATAATATACATAATAACAGTAATGATGAATTCACTTCTGTGAAGAAAATTTTAAGGCACTCAGGCTAAAACATGAAAAGTAATGGTACACAAAGAAATAGACTTTCGTGAACACTGCCTGATGAATGAAATGGTGTATATGGTTTTATTTTAGCTAGGGTTTCTATTGCTACAATGAAACATCATGATCAAAAAGCAAGCCAGCAAGAAAAGAGTTTATTTGACCCATACTTCCATATTGCTGTTCATCATTGAAGGAATTCAGGATAGGAACATGTCAACAAACCAGACCTGGAGGCAAGGGCTGATGCAGAAACCATGGAGAAGTACTGCTTACTGGCTTGCTTCCCATAGCTTGCTCAGCCTTCTTATACAATCAAGGACCATCATCCCACCAACCCACCACCCCCATGGGGTTGGGTCCTTCCCCATCGATCTCAAATTAAGAATTATGTCAGATCTTATGAAGGCATTTTCTCAATTGAGTTTCCCTCCTCTCTGATAACTTGTGTCAAGTTGACATAAGTCTATCCTGCACATGGTTACACTATTAAGAGCAACCAGTGAAACTGGTGCAATCGGATAAGCAAATACTGACATTTTCCACAAAAGTAGATATAGAAACAGTCATATGGACGCAGAAAAATCACAACTATTATCCTTAAAAATTATCCTTAAGAAGAGTATTACTGGGGACATCACAAGACCTGATCACATATTATGATTCAGAGGCACAATGACAAAGACAGTATGGGCCTACATATAAAAAACAAAATAATAAACAAAATATAGAATATTGAACAGAACAGAGATCCCAAAAAGAAACACAAAGCAGAAAGATCAAGAGAGCCAAATACATAAAAAATGAACTGAAGAAGAGAGTCCTTTGAACATTCAATGCTGGGGAAATGATTACCCATGTGTAGACAAGTGACATTAGATCCATATCTCTAACCATACACAAAAATCAACACTAACTAGATCAAGAAACTTCCTGGAGCCAGGCAGTGGTGGCCCACGCCTTTAATCCCAGCACTCCGGAAGCAGAGCCTGGTGGATCTTTGTGAGTTCGAAGCCAGCCTGGTCTATAGAGCGAGATCCAGGAAAGGCGCAAAGCTACACAGAGAAACCCTGTCTTGAAAAACAAAAATAAATAAATAAATAAATTAAGAAAAAAAAGAAATAGACAAAAACTAACAAGAGGGTATGAGTTTATATTTCCTGTCAATGACTTCTTAAAATGTGTACGGATAATGTTCCCCAAACAAAAATTAAAATAGTATACGGCTTCAAAAAAGGACACCCTAATATCATAAAATACTTTCAATGAAAGTATTTACTTCAAATGTAAGGATACAAAGTGCTAAGTGTGAATAAATATTTTTTAAAGATTTGCTGTTAAGAGTGTTGGTAATTATTATGGTAGGTAAGAGAAAAAGCCAAATCTATTGAAACAAAAAACAAAGAAGATTAACAAATGACTAAATGGTTCATTTGCCAGAAAGCTATGTGGTCAATATAAATGCATTTCACAGAAAAGTTTCAAAATACATGAAGCAATCAATGATAGAATTGTAGGAAGCAAACAGACAGTGATTCAGGGAAGCTTCAATGTCCACCATTGAGAAACATGACAATGAACAGCACAGAAAACAATAATGCCTAGCAGGCCTGCAGAGAATCATCCACACAAGAGCGGAATATGCCCAGTCTTCTCAAACTTCAAGCAGTTCATGTCAGAACAAGTCAGCATGGCTTGGTGGCACAAGCCTTTACTCCTCAGAGGCTAGGGCAGGTGGATCTCTGAGTTCAAGGCAAGCCTGATCTACATCAAGTTCCAGAACAGCCATGACTACACAGAGACAGTATCTCAAAAACAAGAAAGAAAACAAAACAAGCTGGGTGGTGGCACAAGCCTTTAATCCCAGCACTCGGGAGGCAGAGTCAGGCGGATCTCTGTGAGTTCGAGGCCAACCTGGTCTACAGAGTGAGTTCCAGGACAGGCTCCAAAGCCACACAGAGAACCCCTGTTTCGAAAAAACAGAAACAAAACAAACAAACAAACAAAATGTTAAAAAAAAATCAAGATCAATGTTTAAAAAGTGTCTTCTCCAAGAACCTGGACAGAAGAATACATAATGAGTACTGAATTATATATACATATATATATATATATATATAAATATGTATTTAATATATAATATTTTGACTCACTGCTAGAATGTTCTTATTCAAACAAGTGAAGAAATATAAAAGGATGTTTGTAAGATTTTAAATACCAAAATCCTACAAGCATTTCTTAAATACAGAGGAAATCTTCCTAAAATTGATAAAATGAGAAATCACAAAAAAATTAAAAATTATGAGATAAAGATCAAACCCAGAGGTCATTTCAAAATTTATTAAAATTACATCAATACAAAACATTAAGAGTTGACATGAAGACAAAAGACAGGAGAAATCAATGGGAAAACAATGTAGATACAGTTTAGTACTAAAGCAAATCTTATCAAAATCCTGCTGGTATTAATTTAGGAGATGGAAAAATTAACCATAAAGGATAAAGAATCTGAAAGAACTACAAAATGCTCCAAAATTCTAAGAGCAGAAAAAAAACCCAAAAGGCATCAGTTGTTCTAACTAAACATTATATTAAAATTATAATAATTAAAACATTTAATATTGATAAGAAGACACGATCAATAATGTGAATGGCACAGGCAACAACATCACTCACGTGAAAATCCAAATGAAATCATATTTGCCTATGAGTAATAATTCTTACATAGAGAGGTTTCTAATACCTATAATAGGAATATTCTGAAATTATTCTCAGTGGAAACAGAATCTGGCAAAACCAATTTTATGCTCTGTTTCTGCTCTCACTTGAGCCCTTCCTACTCATTCCTCAGTCCCTCTTACACACCTGGATCCCTGGCTACTGTCTCCTCTCTCTCCATTGTCCACGGCTCGTTTTTCTGATTCACAGGTGAGCAGATCTGGCTGAGCAGTGTGAGACCTGCACAGGAGAAAAAGGTTCTTCAGGAAGCACCTGGAAGTTTTCATGGAACAAAACTAAAAGATGTGTAACACCTGCCAAAGGATAAACACGAAGCAGAGAAAACATCACACATACACATACATTCGTCTCTCTCTGAGGATTTTTCTTTACTCTCTGATGTGAGACTCTGCAAAAAGCCCTGTAAGCAGGGTCGAGTCATTCCCACTCCTCCTTTAAGAAATCCACATTCATAGCACTGAATGTCAACAAACCGTGAAATAAAATAGAACAGTGTGGAAACCTGTGCATGGACGGAGTGCTTTTCTTCAACCAAGGAAATATTTTTCTGATACAGGTGAGTTATCATAATTATTCCAAAGATGCTTTCTCAAATTTCATTTCCAGAGTTTGCTAACTATAAAATAGTGTGGCCTGATATACTCTTACAGCATGGATACTGCATTTGCCTGGGTCTAAGATGTAACATGAGAAAACAGCATATGAAGACACATTTCTGAATGCTGTATTTACATCCTAGACTGCATATATCTCAGAAAATTAATGGGCAATAAAAACTTTGCTAAGTAAATGTTAATGTTTTCAGCCATAACTGGAGCGCTTGATAAAATGTATTTTCTAATTCAATCAAATCTGCACTGCTTGTATTATGTCCAGATCTCGGGGACCCCCAAAACACCACCACAGAGAATGAATCCCATATGTAAAAGCAAAGAGCCTTTATTTTCAAGACGAAGCAGTGAGAGCAGAGAGCCCAGAGCCCAGGCAGGGTGAGGTTTCTATTATAGTAGAGTTTGGGGTGAGGGTATTTCCAGGGTTCAGGATCCTGATTGGGGGACATTCCTCTAGGGGTATAGGGAATGTTTGGAATATGAGGTATTTCCTCTTAGATGCAGGCCCCACTGGATGGGGTCAGCTTACGGCTTTTCCTGGGTCCAGGTGTTATCTGCCAGAAGCTGTGTCTGGACCTCTAAGCCTGTCGTGGCAGCTGTATGGTCAAGCTGTTTTGACCACACCCCCACAGTTCCTCATGTACTTACTATCCACAAAGTTCTCTGAGAATGCCTGTTCTTCAGAGTGAAAGGCATTCTCTTGAATAGGCAAGTGGTAAAGCAGCGGAGTTAGAAAGCATGGATTTAAATTCCAGGAGCTTTGGAAATGCCACAAACATTTGTGAGAACACTGTTTGCAAACATCAGATAATACAAATCTCTACCAGATTATTTTATGAATTATTTTATGACAGAAGAGTCTAGCATTCATAAGGTGAGTGAAAAAAAAAAATCACGGTAAGACTCACTTCATAGATTCCCAAACTTAGCGACAACGGAACGATATCCACAAGAGAATTTTGAAAGCTGTGTCCTTCTGAGCAGCGTCCCGGAGCACACCCTGGTCCCTTCCCTTCCGTGTCCCAGCCCCGCAGCTCCTCTGACCTGGGAGGTTCCAGGGCCGCCGGGCTGCGGTTCCCGCCGCTGCGCTGCTGACTGGTGACTTTCCCAGGCCGCCCCGCGCGGCGACTGCCGTTCCCGGGAAGATTTCAGGTCCCCAAATAACTGGCCAGATCTTCCATTTCAAGTTCCGGAATACGTGGCTCTAGAAGTCAAACAGGGAATGGTAGAATTTCCTGTCCCTACATCCCGGTTCCTTGAAGCGGCTCCTCCTCCCCCTGCCCAATACACCCCTGCATTGGGTTGCGTGCTTCCTCCAACCCACCAACCGCTGGCTCTTTTTCTTATTTAGTTTCCCAAGTCCACCCTGCAAGTTTTATTCCCCCTAAACTCCTCTGATTGACAGGTGTCTCCGCCCCATATGGGACCCGTCCCTCCTACTCCATCTCAGGCTGCCTTCCACACAGCTCCAGCTGTCAGGCTGCCCTGGACCCGCTCTGCACAGCCTCCCAACACGCTTGCTGCCAGTCTAGACCAGATCTAGATCTAGGAGAACGCTGCACCCTGGTACCTGACCCCGACCCTGGGTCCTGAAACCTTCGGATACAAGTGATTCTGTGTCACGAGCAAGAAGGTAGATGCATGTAGTTAATATAACAAAAGTTTTATTTTATTATGCTGAGGCTTTTCACACAAAGTTGACATTCAGGCTGATCACCTGTGCGACGTGTATCTTAGCTGAATGTCAGGTCCAGTCTCTAACTGAAGTCTCTGATTCGAGTGGCAGGATCATAGTGGAGACTCTCCAGACCCTGGGCAGATCAAAGTGGCATTTCTCCAGATGCACAGAACACAGGATTGCTCTTCGTCTCTGCTTAAATACTGTCCAGTAGGCGTCATGGGGTCTAGGGCTGTATCTGGTTATCTAGAGTGAGTGATGTCACTAAGTTATTGCCCTCAGGCACAGCCTTGGGTGTAGCAGGGATCCTAACTAAACTATTTTTACAACTCTAAAAGGCATTTATTTACTATGCTAATTACATCCTGCCTAACTTCTCATCTTGGAGTAACAGCCTCCTGGGTTAAATATATACAGCAAAAGACAACCAACACCATAAATTCTGAGGCTCAGATCCTATTCCAAAAACAAATTAAAACTAAGATAAAATGCCCTTGGCTCAAAGCACAAATCATATCTGTATTACCTAAGGAGAATTATTAAAATGATATCCAATATGCAGAACCCAAAAAGACGAGTCATGTTCAAGAAGTAAAGCATGTGATTCAACTCAAAGAGGATAGAAACAAAATTATTTGTGAGCAAGAAAACACTAGCAAATGACTGAAGGAAAGGGGAACACTGTAAGATATAAAAATTGAATCCAATAAGTAATTTGAAATACGGAAAAAAATCAAACTGAAATGAAATAAGAAATGAAAAGGCTAATAATAATAACTCAAAGAGATCAAGTAGGAGACAGAATATCAGGTTTGAAGACGATGCAGAGGAGCTGGATGGCTCAGTCAAAGAAAATAACAAAATGCTCCACACAAGCAGCACTAGTTGAAGATAAAAGTGAATTTCCAGCTGCACATTCTCCTCTTATATAAAATATTCTAAAGTGTAAACACACTCACTCTGGAGAGCTTTCCTGGGAAGCTGGATAATCATTTCCATCACTATGCAAATACAGTGACACTAAAAAGCCATCTTTATCTTTCCTTCACAGAACTCCACTATTACCTGTCAAATATCTGGAAATGTACTATTAGCAATATTCCCTTGAGGAAAGACATTTCAGGAAAGGAAATTGGTTTCTCAGGAAGTCAGTGGCCAGTCAGCCCATTAACAGCCCAGTGTTGAATTCATCCTGAGTATACCCCTATCAGATGGTGATATTGTGGTTGTGCTAACGCAGAAACAAGTTTGTCTTCTAGGAAGCATGCTAAAGGTACTTTTAGAAAAAGCATGAAAAATTCCCTTTGAAAACTTAGTAGTAAATGTAGAAGCTTGTGGCTGTCCAAGAGGCAGAAAATAAGTGATGTAAATCGGCACAGCCTTAAACAACTCAGAGGAGGTAGGAAGGAAATAAGAACAAGAAGGAATGGGCATGACCTGCCATTCTCCAGACTCCACACTACTAATATAATCAATAACCCAGAGCAACTATATTTACCTGCACTGGCTTCACTCAAGACCAGCCCTAGCCACAATCAGTCTAGGAAGGGGAGATGCTCACAGGACCCCAACCTTACTTCTCAACTGTGGCTATGGAGAGATCTTAGAAGAAGAGGAATCACTGTCTTTACTTGTGTCTCCTCTCCTAAATCCAACAGGCTCCAAAACAGCCTCAGAGATGGCCCTGGTTAAACTTAACGTGTCAAAAATAAAGTGAATAGAAAAGAACATGAGACAGAGAGGCAGGGAATGAGGAAGAGAGAGCTAGGGAGATGGGGGAGATAGGGAGATACATAGTGAGAGAAATGCTTGTAAGATACTGGTATTTAGAATCTTACAAACATTCTTTTGTATTTCTTTGCTTGTTTGAATAAGAACATTCTAGCAGTGAGTCAAAATATTACATATTAAATACATATTTATATATGTATATATAATTCAGTACTCATTATGTATTCTTCTGTCCAGGTTCTTGGAGAAGACACTTTTTAAACATTGATCTTGATTTTTAACATTTTTTTTGTTTGTTTGTTTTGTTCCTGTTTTTTCAAAACAGAGGTTCTCTGTGTAGCTTTGGAGCCTGTTCTGGAACTCACTCTGTAGACCAGGCTGGCCTCGAACTCACAGAGATCTGCCTGCCTGTGCCTCCCAAGTGCTGGGATTAAAGGCGTGCGCCACCACCGCCCAGCTTGAAGTCAAGGTACCTTTAAAATATACATTTTGGCATAATTCAGCAGCTTTTACAATCAAATGTTTTTCTTCAGTTACGAATATCAAAGAGAACATAATCCAGATTCTCTGTGTGGTAGCCATCTTTACGAGGCTTTTTTTTTTTTTTTGGAGCTGAGGATCGAACCCAGGGCTTTGCACTTGCTAGGCAAGTGCTCTACCACTGAGCTAAATCCCCAACCCCCGAGGCTTATTTTTTATATTACCTTGAGCCTATTGCTTTAAACTGCAGCATTCCAAGACTGAAACGGGCACTGTGGCTGCTGGCTCCACCCACTTCAGCTTCCCAGCATGGCGGTGGTACATTTTCTGCCAGCTCTGGGAGCCATCAACTCTCAGAAATAGTGGGTCTATGCTTCTATCAAAGCAGCCTGTAGCCCAGAAACCTCTTTTTTTGTTTTGTACTAGCAAAGGCTAAATCCACCACGCAGCTTAATGTGCCACTTGCAGAGGCCTCATTCCCACCATACTGCAGGTCGAGCGCACAAGCCAGGAACCTGCCACAGTAGCTCAAACCGGCAGGCTGCCGCTACCTTGAAAGAGACAACTAGGAACTGTTTTTAGCTCCGTTTTAGAATCTTTTTACTCAAGTTTTAGGTGGAAATTCTTGCCAACACATTGGGCACCATTTGTAGCTAGAGTTTTCCTACCTGGCCCACAGTCAGAATGAATCTCTGTCACCCGCCAGTCCCACAGCCACTCAGACCCAACCAAGTAAACACAGAGACTTATATTGCTTAAACTGTTTGGCCTAATGGCTCAGGCTTCTAGCTATCTAGTTCTTACATCTTAAATTAATCCATTTCTATAAATCTATACCTTGCCACATGGCTTGTGGCTTACCGGCGTCTTCACATGCTGTTTGTCATGGCAGAAGCTGGCACTGTCTCCCTTTCCCTTCCTGTTCCCTTGATTCTCCTCTGTTAGTCCCACCTATACTTCCTGCCTAGTCACTGGCCAATCAGTGTTTTATTTATTGACCAATCAGAGCAACAGATTTGACATACAGACCATCCCACAGCAGATTTGTATGGACCAAGATTGCAGGGAGTAAGGGATGAAAGTGTGCAGTAAATGAGGTATTGTGAGAGCCAAAGTTACACCTTTACATACCAGGTTTTACATACTTCCACCATGAAATCATGTTCCAGGACTTCTACTATAAAACCTAGGATTGACATTGCCTCAAATAAATACCTGCTTCTGAACAGAAGTTATTAAATTTAGACCTCATTCAATTGCACTTCCTTCACTGTCAGTGTGCACAGGCATACATGCAGAACAAACACCCATACACATGCAACAAGAACAATAAAAGAACTAGCTACAGAAATTTGAAAGAGAGAAACAAGCAAAGAGATACAGTAGGAAAGGAATTAACTCAACCAATCCAGTGATGGTGTGACTGCATATTTAACCTGAAAACACCATCAGAAAACTTTATACTTGATAAAAGTCTTAGTAACATTGAAGAATATAAAAGTAAAAAACAGGAGTCACCAGTTTTCTACATACCAATAATGACTATGTTGAAAATAAATTAGGATAATATCTCATTAACTGTAGCTTTAAAAAACTTCCAGAATTCCCCAAAATATTTATAAGTAAGTTCATCCTCCTTAGCCTTGAGGGAATTACAACTGTGAACTCAAATAATATTCCATCTCACGCTAGCCAGAATGGCTAACACAAAGAAAAAAATTGATGAATCAAGAGATGGTGCCGTGGGTAAAAAGCAGTTACAGCTTTTCCAAATATGTGCATTCAAATCCCAACATTGATATCATGGCTCACAATGACCTCTAAATTCCTTCCAATAGATCTAATGCCTTCATGTGAAAGCCACAGACACTAGATACATGTGTTGCACAGATATGCATTATGCCAAAACACCCATGCACATAAAATAAAATAGAAACAAAGAAAAACAAAAAAAACAAACAGAACCAAGTCTAGTGGACACAACCTTAACTTCACCACTCTGGATGCTGAGGCAGGTTTAACTCTGTAATCTGCTGTTATGCTTGTCTACATAGTGTGCATCAGACCAGTGACAGCTAAATCCTGAGACCCTGCTCAAAAAAAAAATAATACACAACAAAAAAAAATCTAATGACCAAAAATACAGATGAGGAAATGGAAAATTAGAGCCTTACTTTATTCTAACTTCTGGTGGAAATGCAACCAGGAGAAATCCCTTAGAAGACTTACAGAAAGGACAAATGTACTCACCATATCACCCTCTAAAACTGAGGGATAAAAGCTTGTTTCAACATGTACAGATATAATGATTTAATACAGCAAATACCCAGACTCTAACAGAAGGAACATGATCATATCCATAAACCCATAAAAGGGTTATGGAGAAATTTCACTTGTGCTCATTGTCAAAGACTTCAAAAATCTTGGAATAGGAGGAAAACACCTCAGCACAATAAACAATAGAAGCCAAGAAAATAAAAATCTAACATTTTACTAAATGAGGAAAACTGGAAAGATTCCAATCTCCTCAGGAAAGGGACATGGGTGTCCACTTTGTCCACACTAACTCGGCATGGTGGATTTATT